TAGTAATAAGGGGCAAAATTACTGAATTGTGATTGGTCAAGACAGAGGGCATTTTTTCTTAATTTTTGTAATTGCCCCGGGCAAAATTACTTGAAAATGATTGGCTGAAAATCGCTTAGCAACGGCTGCCAAGGTAAAGAAATTTCTGTTTGTTTTGTAACAATGGCGTCCCGTTTTGCGCGAGATCAGTAAGAAAACATTTTGCCCCTTATATTATAAACAAGTAATCACATGGTTCCTCGTAAAATTAAGGATTAATATCACTTGTGTTTTCGGAAGTTGCAGAAATTTCCCTTGTCGCTGCGCGACTCGGGCAATTACAGCAACTTCCGAAAACACGCGTGATATTAATCCTTAATTTTACTCGGCCCCATGCGATTACCTATACTAACGTACGGCATCTCCATATGGGGAGGTACTAACCGACAAGACGACCTCGATTCGCTGGAAAGATTACACTGCAGGGCAGCAAGAGTCATTTTCAATCATTTCGCCAAGGATATATAGCGGAACTCCTTACCAGGGCTAAATGAGACTCTCTAAGAACTTTCTATAAACAATCGGTCCTGAAACTAACTTATAAGATGTACCACAATGATTTACCATCCTGTATGACAGCACATATTGTGAAATCGCAAACCTCATATAATCTAAGGAACAGTCTTCAGTTGGAAATCCCACCTTTCACATCGAATATCAGAAAGCATTCCATATCTTATAGAGGTTCAGTTTTGTGGAATTATCTGCCAATCGAGTGCCGTAACGCGCATAGTGTCAATAGTTTCTCCATGATAATTAAGATGCTACCTTTGGTCAGGGACATTGACTTCTCTAATTTATTCTGTAAAAGATAGCTCCTCCCTAAAGGAAGTATTTTTAGGTCTATAATTTTATTAGTTAGGTAATACTATCAATTATTAACATAAACATTATCTTATGTTTATACACAAGTCTTATTTGATACTATATTACAACTATTGTTTATGTATCTTTTTATTTTATACACGACCCCAAAAGCTGCACAGCTTCAATACTTATCGTGTCTAAATAAAGGTTTTACCTACTTACTTACTTACCTTTCAGAAAACCAACTTCATAACATTCACATTTTAGCGAAAAAAAAAAAAACAGAGAAATCGTTTGTTCCATAATATAGATAAACCATTTTTATTAATTTTTTTAAGCTATAACACGAGATTCTCTTGGCACTGAATTATGAAACTGGTTACAAATTCATAACATTACATTTCAGTACTCACTTCCACTGCGATGGCGAAGGCAGCTGCGAGGATTATAAGTAGTTTAGTCAATTTTGCGAGTGGTGATGGTGAGTTTTTAAGTCTTTTAGATATCTTTTGGGAAACATGAGCAGTAGATTTATGAAGGCATTTAAGGCCGCTGTGTGATCAGTATTGCTCCTGGCTAAGAAATGTTAAACCTTCTAGAGGACGTTTAATCGTAAACTCAAATTTTCTTTCGTTGTTCTTTGAAAGAGCTTTTTACAAAATGGGTCGAGAAAAAATTGAATTAAGTAATTATAATCATAATTTCTCCCTCAAACATGTGGATAAATACAAATACCAACTGGTGGTTATCGGCGAATCATTGTAGCATCTCAATTGTCTTCGTTCGTTGTGCAGCTAGAGTCGAAGGTAGACTTTCTGCTCTGTCTGACCCTCATCGGAGTTGATTATAATTAATTAGTCTGTTAACCATACAAGGAATTTTTTTTCTTCTTTGAGAAAAGCTTGCGAAAAAAGAAGGAATTGAAAGTCACAAACGAAGCGATGCAGGTATAAAAAGTTGAATGTAGAAGAATATTTTAAAAAGTATGACAGTGCCTTTAATCGAACTATCATGGAGGTTTCTGTGTAACAGCACTTAGTACTTCAACAGACCTTTTGTCTTTGAAATAAATAGATTAATGAATGTATTTAGCGGAGGGACAAGGTCGCAACAGGGAAAAAATGGATGTCGGAATCACAGGGAAGTAGCTAATGTTGTTATGATTATCTGACTGAAGTAAGTTGATCAAGACACATACCACACTGCAACATTAGCAGCCTTGCAAAAGGCGCTTTGGTTCTTTAGGTAACCCTGTGGGCTGATCATTAAGTCAACATGCAGACAACGGAACCTACGGATAAGAGTCCTTCTCAGGGAGGACTAGAATGCCCAATTATCTGCAGTTTCCGCTCAAAGTCAGCACACTCTTCTCAGTCATGTTTATAAGACGACGCTATACGCAATCATTTTCACAGGTGGCAGAATAACCAGCGCACAAGAATACGAGAGAAGAACCCGGGAGAGACGAGGGGAAGGTAACATATCAGCCTGCATGCAGTCAGAGTCAGTGCTTTCAGTAAATAAACTCTGTAAAGAAAATGTTGATCTCTATGGGTGGACATATAAAATACAGTCAATGATTAGAGCATAGTTTTGATAGCATCGACACAGATGCAATCAGAGTGGTTTTCAATGACTCACTGCGGAGGTTTAGAACCCATCATGAGTAAGAATGTTTTGAATATTGACAGTAGAAGACACATTTCGCCTGTGCAAGAGTTTATGAGACCCTAATTGTGAATCACATTTATTAAGACGTGTCTGTTTTTCGATCGCTGTGAAGAAGCGAGTGGTCAAACTTGTATTTACAATCGAAAATGTAATGGTCTCTTTCTTTCAGTATTCTCTCTCCCCCTCCCCCTCCATCCTTTCTCTCTCTCCCTCCC